TTGCAAAATGCAAGAAAAGCCAGTGTCTTTAAAACATACAATCTGCCAGCTCGTTCTCCCACAACATCTGCTAGCTCCTTTAGTCGTGTACTCGTAAAAAACATTTTCCAAAAATAGAAATTACTAAAATAACATTTGCTTTCATGCATGAGAAAATGTGTTTGGGTGTGCAACTTTCCCGTCATAACACAGATAGAAAGCTCATTTCAATCTCTTTGTACAAGCTGCTGCAACATGACGTGACAAGAATATCAGCTCTAACTCTAATTTACAAACAAGGCAGAGAACAGAGAGAGAAATGTTGTGTTCCTCTCTCATCACGCTCTCGTAGTATATGCTAGAAGAGCTCTACCAAAAGTGGGGTCATCACAGCACAAATAATGCATACAAGCCTCCACAAACATCAGAAAGAAAGACCACTCAGTGACATACCACCCTCTAACAATGACTAATTTCACACTTTAGTGGAGTTTACTCCCTGATGCTAGTGTGATACTTTGAACAAATGTTTGTTTCATTATTGACTTGCTCAGGTGTCAATAGAAGTTTTGCCTTTGAATACATTAAAGATAGACATTTACAGATTTACAGAAAATAGAAAAACACTAGTGCACAGTTTCATGACCAATTGGTTTCATTCATTCATTAAAGCCTCTTATAGAGAGCAAATCATTTTGTCTTTCCTTTTTACAATAAAAGCTAGTCTCCAATAAACTGGAAATAGAACCAGTTCCTTTATTCACATTCTAATAGAAGGTATCTCCATATTTCCCCCTAATAGTGCAATTACCCTCAAGGCTTGTAAAGTCCAAAGTCATTGAGCAGAGACTGCTGCACAGTTACAAGTTACAACCAACTGTTCAGGGTTTATTCTCACTACACGAGGTTCGGCTCGTAAAGGCATTCAACTACACTCCCTCAGAATCATTGGACATCCCCATAAACAATGAATGAATGAACCCGTTTCCTACTGTATCTGCACTTCACACAAAAATCCTGAGCATTACAGTCATACATATTTAGTCTCATAATGTTGATGTCTAAATCTCTGTCATGGCTGGGGAATACTAGCAACAGAGGAAAGAGGACTGTAATGCAGACCAATAATCAGCACACAAGCAAGGGCAATGTACTTAAGGTAAAGGGGACCTATCATGCAAAATGCACTTTTGTACATCTTTTATACATGAATATGTGTCCTCGGTGTGTCAGGGAACACAACCCTCTCTCTTTTCCTCCATACCCAAATCTTCTAAAAACGGGGGCGCGGCGTCCGACGCAACGCGATGCGCCCGCATTACTTCTATTTGAATTTTTCTGACGTCGCAGAAAGGGGGTGCTCCCGCCTACTGTATATGGGCAACTCTCCACCTATTCAGCCCGGGCTGAATGAGAGAAACCGTCGAACGCGCTGGACGACGGCTGTAGTACAATGCCAGGCCTTTAAGTTTGGCTGCTGTAGTCCTGCGACAAAAGCAGCAAATCAGCCCTTGCAACACAGTGGCGTGGAAAAGAGCAAATAAGAGCAAAATGAGGCATGGCTAAAATGCATGAATCTGTTTGGTATTTTGAAAAAAACACAAACTTCACAGACCATGCCTTTTTATATAGTATGGCCCTACATATATGTTTCAAATATAGTATGATAGGTCCCATTTAAGGTAAAATGGCTCACAGGTTAGCAACATGAAGCAGCTCAAACTGTCAACTGGTCCAAACCACGGTTGCCTTTTCCATTGGAAAAGTAGCTGCACAACAATAAAAGGCCAGATACGAGCAGGGGGAACTGCAAAGTTTTAGTGACAGTAAATTACCGCCACCAATGAGGTGTTTACTGTGATCACTAAAGTAGAATAATTTTGTTCAATTTTAATACAGAAAATATCAGTCCAGTGCTGCTTTTGTGTTGTTTGTTCCTATATTGTTATACCTTTGTGTTGCATATGATTTCATAATTTGACATGCCTTTCTTCTTTTGTTTCTTTTAAATGTAAAAGCACATTGAGTTTCTTTGTGATGAATAAAGCTGCTTTCTTGAACACTTATTAGTTACATGTCCCTAAAAGACAGACTGTAATGTTTTTGACTTATTGTTCTCACTGCCTAATAAAGAAAGGAATTTATATGATGTCTTAAGGGATCTCCCAAAGGAACTTTTTGATTGATAATTTCAATGACAGATATTGTCTGATACTAACAAACTGATGTTGGTGTATTATTAGTCTATTTATCATGGCATTTTATTGAGGCTTTTATTTTGTGCGTGCTTTTGTTGTTTTTTATGATCCATCTTTATTGCACCCTGCCTGCAAGCCTCTTTATCCCTTTTCAAGACAATAAAAGTTGATGGTGTGAAAGCTGCGACCAATAAGCACCTTAAAGTGGTTAAGTGGTTCATCTTAAGTATTCAAGCATCAAACAAGGCTTAAAAGCTACACACAGGGAGGATTGTTTATTTCATTCCAAATCACGGTATGCAAAAACTACCGAAATATAAGAAAACAGACATTTTTTACCCAGCAACCACCCTGTGAGCCAGGAGCAGGGCCACTCATGTGTTCAGTTTGGCAGGATGAAAGAACGTGCATTGGAGCACATTGATTTGCCTCGTGTTAAAAAGCTTTTATTGACATGCA